CTGTCACCCCCTGCCACGAGCGGGGACAGAGGAGGGGGCTGCAGAGGGTGCAAAGGGCACCCACCCTGCAGGTACTTGGAGGACACCCCAAAAACCGCTCAGCCCCCTCCGTTACATTCCCCACGTGAACGCCTGGATGCACAGGATCACAGCAGCGCCAACCCCGGCTGGCTATCGCGCGCTGAGATAACGTGCAAATCCACCTAAAAGTGGCTTTTTTTGGGCCACGGCGCTGCTGGGAACCAATGCGAAGCTGGGGACTACGCCACGGGCAGCCACCCCGCGGGGCTGGAATTTTCCCCCCCAGCATACGTGGGACACGGCTTGCACCAGATGAAGACGTGCGCTGAGGCACTCGCTGAGCCCCCAGTACATCTCCTCCCTTCCTCCTCCTCCTCCTCCTCCTCCCCCTGCAGCCCTGGGAAGCTGCTGAGCTCAGCACATCCCAGGCAGGGGCCCAGCCAAGGACCCTCCCCAACGCCAGCCGCCCCCGCCGGCTCCTGCTTAACCCTTTGCGAAGCCGGACGGGCTGGAAATGGGAGTGATGGAGCCAACCTCATCACAAGGGGGGGCAGTGGGGGTGCCCCACAAGGCGCAGCCAGCCGGGAACAGCCTGCCCAGAAAGTTTCACCCAGCACCCCGAAGCCCCCCGCTCCGCTCTCCCCAGAAAGTTCGGGGGGAAAGACGTGCTTGCTCGGCCACAAAAACCACGCCGGGTTTATGCCAGCGGCAGTAACCTGGGGAGGGGAAGCGCAGGGGTTACTGATATGTAGCTAAAACTCCGCTTTCCAGCCCCAAACCGTTCCTAGAGGCTCTGCCCGGGTCACAGCTTCCTTTGGGAGGGAAAAGGAGCTGCAGAGCCCCGCAACGCCGCCCCTCCCCGCAGCAGCGCCAGCACACAGCATCACTTTAGCATCACTTTAGGATTATTATTTCAGAGATCAGAAATTACATTTCACTTTAAAACTTGCCGTCGCACCAGAGGCCGCTCGCTCCCCTGCCTACCAGGCCGTGTTATGGCAAAGAAAGAAAAATATTTACGCTCAGCTTCAGAATCCAAGCTTATTTTTAGCAAGGCGCCTTCCCTGTGGTCCTTCACCTCTTTTTCATTTATTTGCCATTTTGCCTCCTGTTTTGACCCCAAAGCCAGCAGTTCCTCATCTATTTTCAGCCTCACTTGGTGAACATTCATACCAACGATTTGGTGGTTGCGGGGAGAAAAAAAAAAAACCAAACCCACAAGCTAGATTTTGTTAAAAACAGGATCCCAAGCACCATCCAACCGTTTCCGAGCGCGCGTGTGCATATTTTGCTGTACTGTGCCGTGAGTGCCCAAATATCAGTGCATATTTTTAACAGCTGGCATTGGGATTTGTTCAGTTTTTGTCCCGAAAAGCAGAGTGGTAGCCCCTGCCTGCCATGGGTGCAAGCCAGGGCTTGTTCCCGACATCTCACAGATCCTCTCCACTCCGCTGCTCCCCGGGATGCTACCCACTCCCCCAGACTGTGCCGCCACCACGGATTCAAGCCCCGCTTCTCTCTTGACCCCTAAAAAGCAACAACCTGCTACAGCCACTGGTGGGGTGCCTGGACCCCCTGCACCCGCTGCCCCACAGTTCTTGGGCAGGAGAATTTGTCCCCGTCCCCCTTTGCCAAGCGCCGAGGTCGCAGGTGGTGGGCGCGACGCTGGCACGGCGGGCCTGTCCCCCTCGCTGCTGGCCAGCATTGCTCTCCGCTGTGTTTACCGCTGGGCCATTATCAATCTCTGCTCAGGAAGGACAGTACCCAAGATAGGTCCCAGAGTGACTTCAGAGTGTGCTCAGCTCCTCTGATAAAGCAGCAGGCAGCGCAGCGGGAGGACAAACAAAGCCCTTTATCGCCAATTAATGGGCCTTCGGCTCCCTGAGCTCCTCGGGATCTGGCTTTGGAAAGGTCACGTACGCAGGGGCAGGCACGCACGGACCTGCTGGTGGGGATGGACGTGCGCTGCCAGAGCGGAGGGCTCGGAGGATGGCGCCTGGCCCCCGTTTTACGGGACCGCTGGGGGAGGCAGACGGAGGTTACCCCCAGCCTGGCACTGAACAAAATCCCCCGTTCCAGCCTGGCCGTGCCCCGCTCTCACCCCCCTCAGCACTCTGGTTTTCAATGCATTTCACTCCAACAGCCCTTATTCTCTTAAGAAACCCAGCTGGATGGGACAGGGCAGCAGCGAACCTGAATCAGCCACATCCCGAGCCTGGGCTGCCTCTGCTGCTGGCAGCAGGGTCCAGACCTGCCGGTGCTCACCACACAGCCACTGCCTGGGAGACGGGGGTGCAATGAAGACAACACGCGCAAAACCTCTCACAGCCCTGCTACCTGCCACCCGGCTTTGTGCCAGCCGGGGCCCCGTTTCACAACCCAGAGAGGGGTCAGGGAATGGTGGGGATGTGGCACAAACCGGTCTCGGCCCGTGTTCCCCCTTGCTGCTGCTGTCCCTGCCAGAACATCTCTGAGGCCAAGCGGGGAGACCTGGGGTGCCCAGGGATGACGCCCAGG